CCTGATGTCACACATTCTTTTCCTATAGGTGTTTTATCTGGTACTCCTTCAAAATTTTTGCACCATATGGGCCTGTGCTGCAACCATCCTACCTGAGTGCATCCTGATGGGAGCCCCTCACAGCCCGGACCTGGGGACCCCCAGGCGCCTCACCCTCCAGCGGCCCCAGCAGGGCGCCCGGCACCCAGTCGAGCAGGAAGCTGGCCTGGCTGCCCACGCTGGACGAGCGGCTGCCGAAGGGATGGAGGGGGACCGTGCCGATGACCAGGGGTAACTCCAGCAGCAGCTTGGACGTGCCGGGGATGTCCACGCAGACCTGGGGGGTGTTAGAGAGAGGAAGGATGGGCGCCTGCACGGCTTCACCCCCACCCCGCGCCCCTCCCGGACCCCCACCCCGCGCCCCCTCCGCACCTTGAGCGAGTAGGAGACCTGCAGCACGCGGCACTGCAGGATGGACGGCGCCACGGGCGGGATGCGCAGCGCGGGGCCCCGCCACCGCGCCCGCCGCCCCGGCCCCACCGGCGCGCCCGCGCCGCTCGCCAGCACCGTGCGCTTCTCCTTGCGCGCGCCACGGGCCAGGAACGTCTGCGTCTGCACCAGGGCGGCGCGGGGCCGCACGGGCCGGGCGCACGCGTTGTCCACTTCGGCCTCGATGGGGATGACCTCTCCTACGCGGGGGACGCGGCCTCAGTGTCCCGCCCGGCGTCCCGCCCCGCGCCCCGCGCCCCGCGCCCCGCGCTGTACCTGGCGTGAAGCCCTTGCGCTCGATCTTGGCTGCCAGCGAGACCAGGCCGCGCGGGCCGCACCAGGGCCGGGCCATCTTCTCACGAACGCCCGCCTGCGGGGCCTGGGGGGGGGACAGCGCCCGCACCCAGCACGTGAGGACCTCCGCCCTGCCCGGCCCGCACGCCCTGCCCCCGCACCCCGGCCCGCGCCCGGCTCACCAGCAGCGCGGGTGAGTTGATGTCTACCGGCTGGATGACCGTGAAGGCGCGGCGGGCGCGGCGCGCGGGCGCCCAGGGCCGGCGCAGCGTGGCCTTGACGCAGTAGCGGACGCTGCCGTGCTTCCCCTCGAAGGAGGTGACCAGGGCGCTGGGGCGGGGCGGGCGGGCGGGGGCGGGTGA